GTCCTGCAGACACCAGCAAGGACAAAGGAGCAGCGGGTGAGGACAAGGGTAAAACCCATTGTTTGCGCATCCACTCCCAGGCTCTTACCCCACAACCAACAGCTGGGTAAGTGGGTGTCAGTGATGGCCTCTGTGTGTGTCAGAAATATGAATGGCCAGGCCCCACCCCAGGCCTGCTTCTGTGTTTTCCCTTAGCTCTCCAGACACAGGTGCAGCTGGGAAACACTGCTGTGGATGGTGGACAGCACAACAGAGTGCAGCGATGGGGTTAAAGCTCTGGGCTTTAAGGGGAGATGCTGGGATTTGAACCCAGGACTGTTAAACTCTGAACACAAGTCTATAGACCAGTCCTCTTGCTACTGTAACAAATGCTGCCTAAGGAGTGGCTTATAGCAACCCCACTTTCTTACGGTTCTCCATGTGAAAAGTCTGGGGCCCATCGAACCTGTGAGCAGGAAGAACAGAACATCGGTGTAGGAAACTGGTCCAGAGCAGGGGCCAACCACAAACCTCGGGCTCACATGTGCACTGGTTAACCCTACCACCACCACGGCCCGCGTTCTGCATGGGAGAAGCAAAAGAGCACAAGGCCAGCCCTCCCTGGGCAGGTGGGGGCTCCGGGCCAGGGCCTGACAGCTCAAGGCTGATGGAACTGCGGCTGGCGTCAGGAGCCTGGTTCTCTTGGCTGAACAACCTCCCTTCAAGGTCGGCTGTTGGGGAGAATATCACAGACTACAACTGGGAGCCAAACAGCACAGGGGGCACAGTGAGCAGGAGTTCTCCCCCACTCCATCAGCTGTTCTGTGGGGTGGACAGCCCCACAGGACACTGGGGTGTGAGCCCTCCAGACCCTCGCCTGGTATCATTTGACTACCCCCTCCCCCCCGCACTCCCAGGGGTCCTCCTTCCCTCCCCACTAGGCCTCTGGGATGCAGGTGGAGGGGGCCTAGGACTCCCTCAATGCCCAAGCAGAGCCCATGCCACATTCTAGGAATTTTGTTTTCAATCCAAAACAGGAAGGGAAGACCGGAAGTAGAAATGACACCTTGTGGCGTCTTGGTGGCCCGATAACCTCCATCCCTCCCACAAACAAATCCAGAAAGAGAACTAAGTAGTGCTCCTGTAATAAGCCCCGCCCCCCAGTCTGTGATGGGCTGGGGGCCCCTCCCAAGACCTCCAGCACGTGACAGGCATCTTATGGTCACTTGGAGGCCAGCGCAGGGTACAGGGCCTGGGGAGAGCTTCTGGTCCAGACCTGGAGTTTGAATCCCAGGACTGCCATTTTCCATGGCCATTGAGAATCACATACTCTGCTGACCGATGGAATTCTAAGAATCCAAGGAGATGCACTTTTGTAGGTCCTGGAAAAGACTTAGTGAGGTGATAATGGTGGTGGTGGTAGCACTAGCCCTCTACCTAGAAGGGTCTGACTTATTTCCGTAGAGATGGTGGAGGATGGGCAGGCTGACCTGGAAAGTTGGTAAGGGAGTACCTCCTTCTCCATGGGGATGCAAGGCACCCAAATTATTCCATTGATTTGAGGCTAGGCAGGAAGAAGGCCTGAGTGCTCCCTCAGGGCCTGGCCAAACATAAGTAATGCTTACAATTAGCCACCAGCAAGTTCACTGCAGGAGCCTTTTCTGTCTGTGTCCCCAGATGCACATCACAGTGGAGGTGCTGCTGTCCAGGTCACCTGGAAAACTGGCCGCGCTGCATCATTGCAGGTTCAAAAGGAGCCAGGTCTGAATTAAGAGTAGCTCTGCTGCCACCTACAAGGACCAATAGGAGGAAGAGCAGAGCCCTTCCCAAAGTGCTACGGTAACCAATGCTGCTTGTAGTGGCTTATAGCAACCCAACTTTCTTACGGTTCTGAATGTGAAAAGCCTGAGGCAGATCTAACTGGGCTAAAATCCACCTGTGAGCAGGGTTGCTTTTCCTCTGGAGGCGCTAGGGGAAAACCCATTTCTTTGCCTGGTAGGTTCTAGAGGTTTCTAGCGCTCGTTGGCTGGGGCTATCCTTCTGGCAATGGTGGACAGAGCCTGCCGCACACCCGCTTGCTGTCTGCCATTCCCTACGGCACTTTTTCTCCTCTGACTCTCCCGCCTCCCTCTTCCTGCTCCAGGACCCTTGTGATAAACTGACTCTGCAGAGGTGACATGTTTTCCCTTTTAGTTTTAATTTTGTTGTGGGGCTTGAACTCAGGGCCTGGGCACTGTCCCTGAGCCTCTTTGTGCTCAAGGCTAGTGCTCTACCACTTGAATCACAATACCACTTCCAGTTTTTGAGTGGTCAATAGTAGATAAAATCTCACAGGGACTTTTCTGCCTGGGTTGGCTTTGAACTGCAATCCTCAGATCTCAGCCTCCTGAGTAGTGAGGATTACAGGCATGAACTGTTAGTGCCTAGCTTATCCCTTTATTTTAAGATGGGGTGATGAACCCCCTTCTTTCCATCAGTTGCCTAACTTAATTCCCCCCACTGCCATACATCTAGGGCAGCCCGGTCCACCACAGGTGGTAGGCAGAGCTGGTGTCTCTGGTTGGAAGAAGGAAAATTGATGCATGGACCTTGCCCTCCACTCTCACCTCAACCAGGACGAGGTCTAGAGCAAAGAAATCACAGCCACGTGGACCAGGCAGTCAAGTGTTCTGTGGGCAGGTGTGATAGAGCCCCTGGGCGGTGTAGGCTTTGTGCTGTCCTGAAAGCAGAGTGTGGGCAGCAGCAGCAGGATAGAAAGTAGGGGAGGGGGAGCCCCTGAGCCCTTGACACCCCTGTTATGTGGCTACTTCCTGGCCTCTGCTCTTCTTGCCCAAATGTGCCTCAATCACCACCTCCATCTCCTTTCTCCCAGTCTTCAAATCCAAATCCCACCCATCACTACCTCCAAAGTTCTTCAAAGTACTATTTCTCAGCCAAGCCTGGAGACACCTGTACCGGTATACCCTGGGTGCCGAGTAAATGCAGACTCCCAGGCCTTCACCTATATCCGCCAACTCAGAACATCGTAAGGATGAAGTCCAGGGGCTGCATTTTCAGCATTGCCCCCAGAGGTTCTGATACACCAAATCGCTACTGCCCAGCTCCTCCACTGCCAGTGCTGTGCAGCCCTCCCTGATACCTGCCTCCTCTCCATGCCCACAGCATTGACTCCATCCTCCTCTGGATGGCCTAGGAGTTCTGGATAACAGGTGTGTGCTGAGGGAGAGGACGTAGAGTGTGTCCCCTTTGGGCTCTGAGCCACCAGGCATGAGGCGTGGCACTTTCCACTCGCCACCTCACTACAGATGGGTGTGATCAGCCCAGCTTTGCCACCAAAGAGAGACATAGGGCCACAGACAACAAGCAAATGGTGGCTGCGGATTCAAGATGAAGCCTGAGTCAGGTGTAACTCACGTGCATCATGATTTGTAAGCACCCACTCCCCTCTCTTCAGGAAGGAGGACCTGGGTCTCTTTTGTCCTCTTGGGGTTGAGGAAGGTGTAGCATACACACCAACTGTGTCAAGCATTTGAATCAATGAGTGACTCTGAATTCACTCCTTCCTGCAGCCTTCCTGGAAAGCTGGCATGGCTGATGCTGAGATTAGAAGCCAACACATTGGGGGAGACAGGAAATGGATGAAACAACAGGAGGACAGTGGGTTTGACTCAAAGGTAAGTGGGTGGCTGGCCCTGCAGTAAAACACATCACCACAGAAACCTGCTGCCCAGCCATGAGACTCGCAGCCAGGAGAGTCCGAGATCAGAGCTACCCCAGGCATCCTCCTTGTTTGACCACAGAGCATGTACCACTGGTTGTCATGGCAACCAGTTGGCCAGGCCTACTTCCTCCCCCCACTTCCTGCCTCCCCACCCACAATGCTTCAGCCTACCAATTAATAACCTAATAACTTATGGCGACAGTCACTCAAACACCCAGACAGCACCCTTCTGGAAAGCAAACAGACTTCTCCACAAACATGCTCAGTGCACTTGACCCTTAGCCACCTGAATCCAGACTGCTCTCTCCCTGGCTTTTCCCTCTTGTTTTAAAGGCATAGGTCTGGGCACTGGTGGCTCACACCTATAATCCCAGCTACTTGAGAGGCTGAGATCTGAGGAGTATGGTTTAAGGCCGGACGGGGCAAGAAAGTCTGTGAGACTTTCTTACAACCATTAACCAGTGGAACTGTGGCTCAAAGTGGTAGAGCGCTAGCCTTGAGTAAAAAAGCGCAGTGACGGTGAGTTCAAGCCCTGAATTCAAGCCCCACAACTGACAAAAAAAAAAAAAGGGGGCATAGAATTGGCAAAGACGGGGACGGAAGCTTCAGTGGTTCCCAGGAAACAGACGCCTAGAGGAGCTAGCATGTAGCACGCTGCTCCCTTGACCCTGAATTAGAATCAGAGACACTGGTTCTATGGTAAGGCCCCTGACCAGGACAGCTAGATCTCTGCTGGTCCTCTTCTGGGAGAAATCCTTCATCTTTGCAAAAGAGGAATTGATTCATGGCACCCAACAACAAAAAGAATTTTGTTTTGGTTGGTCATGGGGCTTGAACTCTGGGCTTGGGTGATATTCCTGCGCTCTGCAGCTCAAGGCAAGCGCTCTACCACTTGAGCTACAACGCCACTTCTGGTTTTCTAGTGGTTTATTGGAGATGAGTCTCACAGACTTTCCTGCCTTGGCTGGCTTTGAACTGCGATCCTCAGATCTCAGACTCCTAAGTAGCTAGGATTACAGGCATGAGCCACCGGCGCCCAGCTAAGAAAGAAATTTTTTTTAAAAAGGAAAAGTTGCAAGTTATGACAGAGCCAAGATAGTTGCAAGCTATTTTGATATTCACCTCATTGAAAACTGGGGTGGGTGTATCTAAATCCTCTCCCCTCTCCTCTTGAATCTATAACAGCTTGACCAAGAGAATAATCTAGAAGCAATACGGTTCTAGTTTCTGAGTCCAGGCTTGAAAGGACTGACAGGTGGGACTTCCTGTCTCTGGGGATGAGGGTTACTCTTGAAACTAAGTTTCAGACTGTGAGGAAGCCCAGTGAAACCAAGACCCCAGCTGGCAGGCACAGCTCAGCTTCTAGCTACTAAAAGGGCCATATCCTGCCATACAAGTGAGTGATCATGGAGGAGACTCCTTTAGCCCCAGCGACCCACCTCGCTGATACTGCCAAGAACAGAGTTCATCCAGCCCAATTCCTGCCCAAGTCATGGACTTGTGAGTACAATAAATGTGCTTTATTTTAAGCTAATATCTTTTTAAATGGTTTGTTCTGCAGCAATAGATAACTGGGCGTAAATATTATCCTTCCCACCCTAATCACTTTAGGGCCTGTCATATGTTGGTTTTATTGGTAAGGTTATTTGATTCTAATTTTATAATAGTGGAGATTATTTCCATTTCTCCATTAGATCTGAAGGCTCAGAAAGTTTAAGTATGTCAAGGCTGAAACAAGACTTCTAAAGCTAAATTCCTCCCCTGCTCACCACCTTCCTCATTGTGCTAATATGCCGGTGTATGCCTTCCGATTTTGTTTCCTGTCAGATGAGCCTTCTCTCCCTGTTAAATGTGTGCTCTGCCTAGAAGGTGCAGCACCATAGTTAAGTGAAGAACTCCTGGTCTGACATCTAGGGCAGAGCTGACGTCTTAGGGCATGACCAGGCTTTCAAAGTCAGAACTTGAGCTGTAAGATCCCATCCCCACCCTACAAAGAGCGCTTCTGTTAGGACCATCGGGAGGCAGAGCATAGAAGGTTAAAAAGAAGTGATGGGGAAGGGGGAGGATGGGAAGGGATGGGAAGGGGAAACAAAGGAGAGGCAACAATGCTTGATAAGAAATGTACTCATTGTCTTGTCCATGTAATTGTAACCCCTCTGTATGGTATTTTCACAATAAAAAAAAGAAAGAAAGAAAAGTGATTTGGCTGGGCACCTGTAGCTCATGCCTGTAATTCCAACTGTTCAGGAGGAGGCTGAGATCTGAGGATCATGGTTCAAAGCCAGCCTGGGCAGGAAAGTCTGTGAGACTCTTATCTCCAATTAACTACCCAAAAAGCCTCAAGCGGAGCTGTGACTTAAGTAGTGGATTGTTATCCTTGAGCAAAAGCTCAGGGACAAAGCCTAGACCCTGAGTTCAAGCCCAGGACTGGTGCGCGCGCACACAGAGGTGATTTGGGTGAGGTTGTAGTTCAGTGATACAGCAGGAGTTTAGAGTGCATGAGGGAAGGAAGGGAACGGAAAAAAAGGAAACAGAAATAAGGGAAGGGAGGGAGGGAGGGAGGGAGGGAAGGAGGGAGGGAGGGAGGAAGGAAGGAGGGAGGGAAGGAGGGAGGGAGCGAGGAAAGAAGGGAGGGAAGGAGGGAGGGAGGAAGGAAGGAAGGACAGGAAGAGAGACTCTGGAAGAAGGAAGGAAGGGAGAGCAGGAGGGTGGGCAGTGGTGTGCTAAGGTACTAGATCTAAGAGGTGGGTCTGAAGGCAGGCCATGCGTTTGGAGCTGGGCTCTCCACTGAAAACAGTTGACAGCAGTAGGGTATTAGTTCTCTCTGCCTCTTCCTTTTGGAAGCTTCCCAGTGTGCTGGGGGTTGGGGGGAGGGATGAGGCCGGTCTTCCCAGACTGTGTCCTGTCAAGCCGCTCTGGGCTGCCCTGGCTTGGCTGTGGGAGGTTCTCCTTCCTCCCGCTCCCGCACCCACACAGCCTCCTGCCGCTGTCAGTCTCAGCCAGCTTGGCTGGGGGCCCAGGCGGGCGCTGACCGCAGTCCCTGCCGTCCAGCCTGAGTGCGGCCTGGCCACCGCGCTCTTCCTTGGCAGGGCCAAGAGTTGGGGACCTTGCCAGCCCGACCTGGCGATGCTGGCCTGCGGAACACTCGGGGGAGGGGGGTGCGGGGGGCCCGGCCCCAGGCCCTAGGACCCCGGTGCCCTTGGCAAGAGGGGTCACCCCCCCCCGCTGGCCTAGGGAGGGGGAGGAGGGCCAGGAGCTCTGGGGAGGGAAGGGTTAGCTGTCTCACACTTCTGGGGGGGTAGGGGGGTAATTACCAGGTGGCCACGGTGCCAGCCAGCGGGGGTGGCTGCTAAACCCAGCGGCGGCCACAGGCGGAGACACCCTACCCAGCGGAGGGACCGGACCCGCCGGTGCTGGGGGACAGACACGGGGCTGGGCGGGGGGCGGGGTGGTAATCTTCACCGCTTTCCCTGCCTTCTGTCTGCCGGGCACGCGCAACGCGCATGCACCTCTGCCTGCCCGCCGGGCGCGCGCGCACACAGCGCCTGCCTGCCAAGCACACGCACGCGCCTCTGCCTGCCAAGCACGCGCACGCGCCTCTGCCTGCCAAGCACGCGCACGCGCCTCTGCCGGCCCACCAGGCGCGCGCACCCCGCCTCCGCTGAGCGCGCGCCCTGGCTGCTCCCGCACCTCCAGCACTCCCGCGCGCCCAGCTCCCAGCCGACCCCCTCAGGGCCCCCACACCGTCTTCCCGCCCTAGAGCACCGGGAACCCAGGATCACCTCGAGAGGAAGCCGCCTGGCCGTCGGGGTCGCCTACCTGCGCGGTGACCGTCCGGTCCCGTCCGGAAGCCCGGTGCTCGCGCCCTCTCTTTCTGGAGTGGCCTGGGGACTCCAGGAGGTCCCCGCCTCCCGCGGGAGCAAGCCGGGCCGCGCTGCTGCGCCCGACCCTCCTGCTCCCACCTCCCGTCAGGCACACTCAGACCTGCCGTCCACGCCCAGCCCTGCGCGCTGACCGCAGCCCACAGCCCAGGCGCCCGCCGGGGAGGCCGGGGAGGCCGCGAGCGCGCGCCCAGCCCCAGAGGCAGCCCCGCCGCCTGCGCCCCGTCCCGCCCTGGGGACAGGTCCGCGCGCCATGCGGGCCCAGATGCAGAAGGACCCCGGCCTTCTCCAGCCGCTGGGGGAAGGGGGGCCGGGGTGGGTTCCCTCGCAGCCAGGGAGAAGCTGGGAGCAGAGTATGCAGAGTCGTCTCTCTGAATTCACCTCCATGTCCCCAGCTCAGGCACATCCGTAAATGGGGTCCCATGCCCTGCTTTGGAGCTCCCTTTACCAACCGTGAGCTTAGTCCTAGCCTAGCAGGGCCCTGCCGTGGCCCTGATGCGCTCAGAGCAGGAACGCATCTGCAGCCAGTGGCCCCAGACCACGGAGGAATGACTTCCTGATAAAAATGAAGGAAACTGGAGTGCCTTCTTCTCCACAAGCTTCCAGAGAATCCTAAGAACCGGCCAGAGTTTGCATTTATTGAGCACTGACTGTATGCCCAACACTAAGCACTTCAATGCCTTAACAACTTGGATCCTCAAGCTCTGTGTAAAATACCTATCACTCCTATTCCCATTCTACAGGTAGAAGAATAGAGCCCAGAGAGGTCGAGTAACTGGACCAAGGTCACACAAGTATGGGATGAAGGGACTGAGATTCAAATTCAGCAGCCTTCTGCTCCAAGCCACTTGCTTCCTGTCCCTTGTCACCCTTACATGTTCACCAGCAGCTTCTGCTCCTCCACAACAACCTACCTTGTCTCCTGTGACCCTCTCCCCTCTAAAGCCCGCCTGTGGCATCTCCTGAGCTCTCATCCTGGTGTGAAGACTCCCAAGTTACCTGATCTATGGAACCTTGGAGGTTGTCACAGGCCATGATCGGGGAGCCCCCACTCTACTCCCTGAGCACCCCTGACCCATTCTTTGCCCAGCCTGCTGGGGCCTTGCTCTAGGCCCAGTGCCCTGCTCCAGGTAGGGCTGTCCCCCATTCCTATTTGTGAACTGAGTATGCACTCAGCATCTCGGGAGCATGCAGAAGCGTGTGTGGCTGCTCTCAGGATAGATGGCTGGGGGTAGAGAGGCAGACAGACCGAAATGCAGGCTGGAAGGGAGAGGGAGAGACAGCAGTCCTCTTACTTGCCAGTGCTCTGGGTGGCTCAGCGCCTCAAGGTGAGTCCCTGAGTGGGAATGGACAGGACGGAAGACAGCAGGAGAGACACGGGGAGCGCGCTCCCAGTGGCTGGGTCCGCTTCCTCTGCTCCTCCTTGTAGTATCTTCCCAAATGGGAGTTTTCTGAATTAACTATTCATGCCTGAAAATGTACATCAGCTCTTTTGAAAAATAGTCACACTGCAAGTAGTGTGAAATCCAGAGTGAGTTTGGGTTCCAGCTTCGCTCCTTACCAGCAGGGAGACTGTGGGTGAGTCTCTTAGCCTGTTTGTGCCAATTCCTTGATGGGGAAATGGGGATAGTACTTGCAAAGGGAACAAGATGATCCCGGGAGTGACGTCTCTGCTCAGTGCCTAGAGCCCAGGAGTTCAGAGGATGGGGCTGTTTTATACACTGCAGACACTTCTTACCTATTCATGCTATAGTGGCTACTACCTTTCACTGTCTAAATATTCCTAGGACATGCTCCCCCTTTTTTAACATGTAACTTTATTGTTATTATTAAGGTCTTATACAGAGGTGGTACTGTTTCACAGTTCCGGTAATGAATACAGTTCTTTTTTTCCTTTGCTTTCCCTCAGCTCCCCCTGCCCCGGACCCTGCCTACATGTTGCACAGTTCATTTTCTTCATACTGTCTCCTGAATAACATGACTGTCTTTGTTCACCCTTCCTCTCTCTCTTTCTGTGCCCCCCCTTTGCCCACCTTAAAAACAGAAAAAATCCAAAGACAAAAACAAATACCACCACCAACAGCAACAATAACAACAACAAAAAAAGACATTTCCTGGAATTGGTGTTGATAAATAGTATTTTAAGTGTTTGACAGAGTTACACCTTTGGGTTTTGCCCTAAGAGTACCCTCCTTTCATCTCATTGTGTGTGTGTATGAATGCATGACATATGTGGAAGCCAGATAAAAAATAAAACTGGAGGGGTTGGGAAGGTGGCTCAGTGGTAGAGCGCTTGCCTTGCATGCATGAGGCCCTGGGTTCCATTCCTCAGCACCACATAAGCAAAAAGAAAAAAAAAGCCGGAAGTGGCACTGTGGCTCAAGTGATAGAGCTCTAGCCTTGAGCTGAAGAGCTCAGGGACAGCACTCAGGACCAGAGTTCAGGCCCACGACCAACAAAATTAAAATAAAGAAAAATAAAATAAATTTAAAAAAAAGGTGTGTTTGGAAAGATCATCACACCACTGGCCTGCCATTTTTCTCTAGCTTGCCTGTGACACTTGGTGTCAAGATGTTCTTTAGTGGTGGTAATGGTGGTGACGCAGAATGTATTCTTTTGTAAATGAAACCAGGCAACATCCTTACAAAGAACATACAACACCTGGCGCCGGTGGCTCACGCCTGTAATCCTCACTACTCAGGAGACTCAGATCTAAGGATCACAGTTCGAAGCCAGCCCGGGCAAGATAAAAGTCCTTGAGACTCTTCAATAAATTTCACAGAAAAAGCCAGAAGTGGTGTAGTGACTAAATTGGTAGCACTAGCCTTGAACACAAAGAGGCTCAGGGACAGAGCCCAGGCCCCGAGTTCAAGCACTGGGACTGGCAAAACAAAATAAAAAACACAAAACTTACAGGAAGATGGTATTATGTTTCAGAGCCTTCCTGGGCCTAGAGAATGCTCTAGGAATTACATTCTCAGAATGCTGATTTGAAATACTGCACTACTGTCTTTCTTGCCCATGGAAGTCCACTTCCCATGAGGACTTCCTTTCCAGTCTCCTATGGGAGTGTCTTCTTTTCTGTTGTTGTTGTTTTAATGTCTTGGTATTTTGCCTTCAGTGCCTCCATGCTGAGCCTTTTGGATGACTAGTGCATGGTATTTTCCCAATGCTCAACTCAGGGTGACTCCTTGCAGGTGTCCAGAAAAATGGCAGACAAGGGACTGTGTGGACAGGGCCTCCACAATCTGTCCTTATCTGACCTCTAGCCTCTATGCTAAGGATTGTGTCCTTGCTCAGGAGAGTTTCTCCTGTGTCACGGTGGCTTCAGGTTGGCTATGACCCTTTGTGGAAGGCGGCTGCACCCATTGGAATCCCTCTCTGGCTTCTTCCTGTGAACCTAAGCAGATCCTCAGCTCCCCAGAGAGGCCAGTCCCAGGCGGCCACCACCCATGACAGACCCCTTAGCCCAGCCCCTCAGTTCCCTGCGCCCTACCCACAGGTCTCTGATGACACAGAGGCTGATGCGTCACAGGCAAACTCACACTAATGGAGTTATGAATATACACAGCTTATCTACTTAAAAAAATTACTGTTTTCCCAGTTCACTCTTCCAGTGAGCACAGTCCACCTGGCCTCAGAGGAAAGCTCTCTTCAACCTCTAAACAATAGGAAGAAAGGCTGCTTCCTTCCCAGCCTCCAGCCCGGCCCAAGGCTCCTCATCCACCTGCCCTGCTTCCTATCACCCAGGGCAGCGCCCCCAGCCATTCAAGCAGGTGTTCAACTTGCCTTCTGAGAAAGACTTGCCTTTGCTCTAGCTCATGCAGCTAGAGGCTGGTGGGTCTGAGAACAATTATCTCTAGCATTGACCACACACCAGCAGTCTGGGGCCTGAGCTGATTAATCATATTCCTGATGATCCTCTTCCTGAGTTGAAATCAGGTAACTTGAGGGGATGGGTAGGGGTGGGAGAGATGGAAAACAATGGAAGGAGTACCATTGATCAAGGTGCCTTGTACTCATAAATTGATATGCTGAATTGAGACCCCTTTGTACAACCACTTAAAGATAATAATAATACTGCTAATAATAACAATAAACTTGTTTCTGTTCCTACTCAGATCATCAAGGCTCTCAGACCTACCATTAAGGGAGATACCAGAAGGCAGGAAACCTTGAAGCCAGAGAGGAGTCAGCACCGGTCCATGTGAAATGTCGGCATGTACATCTGGAGGGCTGAGATCCACGTCAAATCGTAGGCTAGTCTTGGAACACCAGAAAGAAGCTTTCAAGCAAGGTTCACTAGGGCTGAGTTTGTTTGGAAGGGCCAAGTACGGGGAACTTTAGCATCTAAGTACCTAAGTTTGCATCTCATACCGGGTGCTTTTTAGTTGTGAAATTTATGCAACCTCCCGGGGGCTGTTTCTTCTTTAAAGTGGGGTTAATAGGGAACTGGGTGTGCTGACTCACATTGGTAATCCCAGCTACTCAGGAGGCAAAGATCAGGAAGATGGAGGATCAGAGCCAGCTGGGAGAAAGTGTTAGCAAGACCTTACCTCAACCAACAAGCTGGGTGGCTTGCACCTGGGTTTGCAGTTGCAGCAGAAATATAATAGGAGGATCATGGTCCAGGCTAGCCCTATCAGAAACATAGAGCCTATCTCAAAAATAACCCAAGCGTGGCTCATGTGCTTGGTAAGCATGAAGTCCTGAGTTCAAACCTCAGTACCTCCAAGAAGTAGGAATAATATGAAAATCAACATAAGAATCAGATATCTAGGTGCTCTTATGACTGCTGGTTGGCTTCGAAGCTAGAAGGGAAGAGAGCAGGTGGGACACAAAAAGGAGTATTGCTGGTAGAAGTAACATGGGCAGGGGGCCGGGGGCCGGGAACCCATGGCTCATGCCTGTAATCCTAACTACTCAGGACGCTGAGATCAGAGGCTTGTGGTGAGACCCATATCTCCAATTAACCACCAGAAAACTGGAGGTGGCTCTGTGTCTCAAAGTGGTAGAGCGCTAGCCTTGAGTGAAAAAGCTCAGGGACAGCACCAGGCCCTGAGTTCAAGCCCCACTACTAACAATAAAAAGAGATGGACCTTGGCCAAACAGATTCTCTGCTTTGGAGAATGGAGCTTCCACTTAGCAGCTGTGTGGCCTTGAGAAAGTCACATGACAGTTCTGTGCCTCCTTTTCTTCTCTGTGAAATGTATGTACTAAGAGCACCTTCAGGGTGTTCTGAATTAGTAAGTGTAAAACTCTTAGAGCTATGCCTGCCCCTGGCAAGTGTTCCATGGAAGTGTGTTCTGTTCTGGTTCAAGTGTGCAAGATGTGTTGTTACCACTGAGGTAGGCAGCTGGTGATTGACTGCCTTTGATTTTGCCCTCTTTGGGGGTCATTTGACCTGTATATGGAGGCAGGGCAGGGATGAATCTGATTGGTAGTGGGCACATACCTTCTCCAGACTTTAGGGGCAGGAGTCCTTAGAGACATTCTTTGGAACGGGGTATGGTGTCATCTGCTTCAATTCCCAGGAGGAGGCCAGCCTGGGCTACAGAGTGGGTTCAAAGCCAACTTGGCTATGTAGTGAGACACAGTCTCCACAAACCAAACCAAAGAGAGAAAGACAGAGAAATCTACTGGATGACAAGTCACTCTACAGCATTTACTGAGCACCTGTGGCTTAGGTGGCACCACTGCCTGCCCTCCGGAGGGGTCAGGGATGCCTCAGGCTGCCATACTGAATATGCTCTGGGTGTGGGTATTGCCAGGGACTGAACTTCAGAGTCAGAGGAGTCCAAGATGGGCTCCAAGGCCTCTTGAGGAAGGTGGGGCGTCCTTGGGAGCATGGAGGGCTGAAGGTGTGGGGTTGGACGAGCGGAGGGAGGAGGCCAGGGCAAAGGACAGGCAGTCACTGCAAAGCGGGCAGCAAGCTCAAAGTCATTCAGTTCATTTCAGTTCATTCAGTTATTCATTTGTTAGCTTCCCACAGACAAACTAAAGGTGTATGCTCTCTCAGTGGTACTGGGGATTGAATCCATGGCCTTGAGCTTGCTAGGCAGGAGCTTTTACCACTGAACCATGCCCCAGTCCTAAAGTCATACTTTCTAAGCAATGCTCTGCACTCAGCACAGCTTGAGGGAATTTGCTAATTATTTTTGCTATTCCTTGTTCAAATTCCTTTTTTTTTTTTTTTGTCAGTCATGGGGCTTGAACTCTGGGCCTGGACGCTGTCCCTGTGCTCTTCATAGCAAGTGTTCTACCACTTGAACCACAGCGCCACTTCTGATTTTTCTGGTGGTTTGTTGGAGATAAGAGACTCACAGACTTTCCTGCCCAGGCTGGCTTTAAACCACAATCCTCAGCTCTCAGCCTAAGTAGCTAGGATTACTACAGGCATGAGCCACCGGCCCCGGCAACCCAAATTCCTTTCAAATTGGTCTCATTCCACTCAAGAAAAAGCATCACTGGGGTGCTAGAATGCCTGTACCACCACTGGAGTTCTCATTCCTCCTTTGTAACCTAGAGAGCTGGTCTGTGGCAACAGGTGTGGAGGCTTTGTGGCTGCTTTCTTTGTTCTCATCTATGCAACGACTTTTCCTATTGTGGAAGAAGATTTCCTTTAAAATGGAACACACACACACACACACACACACACACACACATATTTGTCTCTTGCTATGGTCTTGGTCACTGAGGTCTCTTCAAAAATGAAGTGGCGAGCCTGGGAATGTGGCTCAGTGGTAGAGTGCTTGCCTTGCATGCATGAAGCCCTGGGTTTGATTCCTCAGCACCACATAAACAGAAAAAGCCAGAAGTAGTGCTGTGGCTCGAGTGGTAGAGAGCTAGCCTTGAGCAAAAGCAGCTCAGGGACAGTGCGCAGGCCCTGAGTTCAAGCCCCAGGACTGGCAAAAAGGAAGAGGCACCGGGTGGTCCTTGGTGGTGAGGCCTGAGCCCTTCCTCCGGGCTTCCAGCTGTCACCATGTCCCCACTGCCACCCACAACACATGTGCTGGACACGGTGGGGGGATGGGGGGTTGGGAGGGAGCTGGGATCAGAGAGGTGCAGCTGAGAGCCACGCCATCCTCCCAAGATCTGTTCAGATCTGTGAGCAGGGCTGCTGTCTAGAATGGGAGGGGAGACCCCCTTTATTCTCATCCGGGGGTGGTGGCTGGGGGCCGTCTGATGCAATAGGGTTTATATCTCAGCCAGTCTTCAACGGCAAGTTTCCATTCCCGATCTAATACAAGTTCTGTGGCTGTTGGTTTTCCGAAGTATGACATTCGAACAGAAACCTTAGGGGTGTCATAGAAACTTGGGTGGCTGAGGGTTTTGAAAGCGATTTGGGAGGGAAACCAGGATTAAGACAGCAAGGGCAGCACTCTGCTGGCCACTGGACCACAGCCGACAGGGCGGGGCAGCTGTGCGAGTCCGGTCCTCAGGCGCTGTCTGGAGAGCACCGTGACGATCCGGGTTGCCTTGTGTGAAGAGGAGTTCCAATCTGAAACCTACCGGGAGGCTTGGAAGCACCCCGAGTCTCCCAGTGACTGGACTACCGTGCACCCAGCCCTGTGAGTGCCGGGGCTGAGTTTGAGAAGAGAAGCAGTATGGCCCTGTCACTCTCTGTGTTGTCATCTGTGTCCCCTCCAGAGTATGAGTTGTCAGGGACTGGGTCCCTCCCCTCAGACCAAAGCCCAGAAGACCCATTCAAATCAAGGAGTGAATGAATGAATGGGTGAATGAATGAATGAGTGGTGGATGGAGGGATACATGGAGACTCAGGAAATACTCAGTATACTTCTGTAGACCACAAATGGCCAGCCTTTCCACTTGGATGCCGCTTACTTCCCTGAGCTGTCCTGAGGGGAGAAGGGAGCTGGGCATGACCCCAGGGACTTGGGTGGGGTTGGCTGACACCTGCCCCATCCCAGGAAGCTTGGCCCAAGGTGTCTCCTTCCCTCTCCCCTCCCCCCTCCCTCGTGACATACCCATGGGTGGCAGGGCAGATCAGTTTGGAACCTAGAACACCAGGACCAACCTCCCTCCTCTTGGCGTGTTCCCTGCAGAGCTCTTTAGTCCTGGATTTTGACTTTTGAATGCTGGGCAGGTTGGTGTGTGTGTGGCTTTTGCATGCTGGGCAGGTCGGGGTGTGTGTGTGTGTGTGTGTGTGTAGGGGGCAGGTGTCCATGCCCAGCTCCTGCGCCAGTCTAGACTGGCGAGGTTGCTAGTCTTCCCTCCTGGGTCAGGCCTGGTGTGCTGTGCTTGTGGTGGGGGCGTGGACTGGGGTTGGCTGGGTCCAGCTCAGTTCCAAGCCAGGCCAGGCCTGCAGCAGGAGGTGGAGTCACGGAGAGAGCAGAGAGCGGCTTAGAAACCCACCACCACCCCTGACCCTGCAGCCTCCAGAATTTCTAGAAGGGCCCCCGGAGGGCTCCAGGGCTGGGAACACCCCCTCCCGCTCCTAGCATTCCTGTGGGGGGAGGCAGTAAAGAGCAGGTGGCTGGTTTTGTCTCTGCCCGCGCTCAGACTGAACAGGACACAAGAACTTTATTATTTCAGTGGGTTGAGCCAAAAGGCCGGTCGGTGTTGGGAAAGGGGACATTTGGAGCCATGCCATGCCCCACCAGGCTGCTGCCCGTGGGCTCTGGCTGACTTCACATTAGTCCTGGCCAGGCGTGGCTCTTGGTCCCCCTAGGGGTGGAGAGGTAAAGGGTCTTCCCTAGCCAGGCGGACTTCCAGCTGAAGTGCCAGGAGGGAGGGCAGAGGCACAGAAGCACGGGCAGGTGGGTAGGCCCCTCCAGCCTGCAGCCAGGCCCGCGTGGCCCCTCTGGGACATGACAGCTCTCAATCCAAGCTCTGAGTTCCAGAGTCTGAGGGAGTTTGGAGGAGGCCTCTGGTCTGCTCTGGGCATTCTGCAGAGCCTGCGCCATCACTTAGAATTCGCTCCCTTTGCCCCTCCTTACCTGGTGCCATGTTCAGGCCACTCCTGGGTCTGGGAGGCCAACAAGCCGAAGGAACAGCTGTGGCAGGCACACTACCCAGCCTGTCCGTCTGCTGTCCTTCCCGCCGCCATCGTCCTCTCACACGGGCCGCCCCAGTGCGGGGCTGAGCCAGCAGGTGAATTCCCAAAAATCTGTCAGGACAGTTGTGAAACACAGCCATGTTTCAAAATGAACTTCTGTAAGCCGCACTTAGATAACTGATATTAAAAGCAAAGGTAATTCATACTCAACACTCGCCACTTCCTAATGATTTTTAAAGACACCCATGCCTGTGAACAGTCACACTACTGTAACCGTGCGGTGGTGGTGTTTGTTGCAGTTGGGGTTGGAGAGACTGTTCACCTCTTTCTGTCCTGTGTGCAGTGGCCTCGTGCTGGTTGCTGAAATCAGCCGAGGTGAAGAGATTTTACAACAGAAATGGGCTTGTGTTATATCTAGAGCTTGACATATGGGCCTTTTTGTTGGGTTTTGAGACAGGGTCTCAGAATGTGGCCTAGGTTGGCCTGGAATGCAAGATCCTCCAGCCTCAGCCTCCTGAATGTTAGATTACAGGCATGAACAACCGCGCCTGGCTCTTTGGGGTTTTTGTTGTTGTTGTATGCTTGTTTCTTCTGAGCATGTATTAGTTGTAGAAAAGGGTCTCGTTGTGATGTTTTCATATGTGATGCAAAATGCCCCAAGTCCTATCATGTCTCCTCTTTTCCTTCTCTTCTTCTTGGAACACATATAGCAGTTACATTTTGTTTTCATACTTGCGTATGGATACTTGGAGCATATCCACCCTTCCACACTCTCTTCTTTCATGTTTTCCCCACTCCTGTGGATACCCATCCCCAAGGAACCTGTTTTACGTCCTTGTTATTCGTACAGATATGGCGGGAGGCTGGTACTAGGGCTGGCTTTCTTCTTTGCAGATGATGCTCTACCACATAAGCCATGCTCTCAGCTCAGTGTTTTCCTAGCTAATTAATGGAGTCTTGAAGACTCTTCTACCCGGGCTATTTTTAAACTTTGATCCTCAACTTCCTGGGTAGTTAGGATTACACTAGTGCCTGGTTCTGTCATTCATTTTTAACTACTAGATTTTGCATATGAGAGAAAACAAGTGATCTTTGACTTTCTCAGTTAATTATTTCTGCTTCTGGATCTGAAAGCTTAGCTACTAGAATAGAGCCAATTGAAAAAAGCTAACAGAAATCAATGATAAAAACAGTCAAATGGGCTGGGAAGGTGGCTCAGTGGTAGAATGCTTGCCTTGTAAGCATGAGGCCCTGGGTTTGATTCCTCAGCACCACATAAGCAGAAAAAGCCAGAAGTGGGGCTGTGGCTCAAGTAGCAGAGCACTAGCCTTGAGCTGAAGAGCTGAAAGACAGTGCCCAGGCCCCAGTTCAGGCCCCACGACCAGCAAAAAAAAAAAAAAAAGCCAAAGATATTGAAAACATGTAAAGAAAATATGAATGAGCTGGGTGGCTCAAGCTTATAATCCCAGCTACTCAGGAGGCTGAGACCTGAGGGATCACAGTTCAAAGCCAGTCTGGACAGGAGAGTCTGTGAGACTTTTTTTTTTTTTTGTAGGTTGCGGGGCTTGAACTCTGGGCCTGGGCGCTGTCCCTCAGCTCTTCAGCTCAAGGCAAGCGCTCTACCACTTGAGCTACAGCGCCACTTCTGGTTTTCGAGTAGTTTATTGGAGATAAGTGTTTCTCAGACTTTCTTGCCCGGGCTGGCTTTGAACCGTGATCCTCAGATCTCAGCCTAGCTACTCAAGCTAGGATTACAGGGGTGAGCCACCGGCGCCCGGCTTGTGAGACTTTCATCTCCAATAAACGACTAGAAAACTGAAGTGGCACTGTGGCTTAAGTGGTAGAGCGCTTGCCTTGAGCTGAAGAGCGCAGGGATAGCACCCACACCCAGAGTTCAAGCCCCACGACTGACAAAAAAGAAAAAATGAATGGAATTCCTAAGATCTCTGGGACACCACTTAAAAACACACACACACACATTATGTTGAAAATGAGCGATGCAACTTATGGGTGGGATAGCGGGGAACAACTGGGGGAGACCAGTTGGGCACTGTCTAAAAAGAAATGTACTTTCACCTGACTTCTGTAGCTGTGACCCCTCTGTGTATCATCTTTATAATAACAACACAAAAAGATTTAGCCTAGCAATAAAAAACCCAAACCTACAAATCATGGGCATAGAAGGAAAAGAAATATAAACAAAGGCATAGAAAACCCATTGCTGGGCAAACGCTCCTCAGCCCTTTGGCACTGCGTTTTGTTTGACCCAGGTTGGCTTCAAACGTGGGATCCTCCTGCCTCTGCCTCCCAAAGAGCTGGGATTACAGGCAATGAAGCACCATGTTCCGCTGATCTCCGTGCTGACCGCTCCTCTGTGTTCTGGGCTAACGACAAGACCTTCCTACTGCCGGGTCCTTCGCAGCTATCCAGACCTCACGCTTGTACACAGGGTAGAGTTTGGGACTCAGGAGAGGGCAGGACCTGGGCCAGTCCTCAGCCACAGGCCACAGGGGTGACCCACGGCACTGCCTGCAGGGACTGTTGTTATTTGGGATTGGATGTTGATATAAAGGCCGAGAGTAAAGCCATGAACTGGACAAAGTGGGGGGGAGGGGAAGAGGGAGACAGGTGGATGGCCAGACACCCTCCGGGTGTGTCTGAGCCAGTGTGCTGCAGTGTGGTGGGCGTGGCTTGATGAGCGGGTGAGTTGGGTGCTGGGCATTTCATTTGAGTGTGAGGCTCTTGGGGACACTGAACTTGGATACATGCACAGGTACGGAGTTTCAAAGGAGAGACGGGCTGATGAGACCAGTGTGGAGTCCTCTGCAAACAGCAGTAATTACAGGTGAGCATGGGCATGGGTACAGGACGTGAGTGATGAGGGCTGGGCGTGCCCTGAGGTGAGCCACACAGGACTGAGTCTGCAGAGGGCCTACAGGGTGTGGCTGCTGGAGGCCCAGGGAGGGAGAGTCACTACAGGGAGGTCACTCATTTTAAAAGATGGACAGTGAGCAGCAGGAGGGCAGAGAAACTGCCCTTGGCTTGGTGACATGTGATCTTAGCAGCAGTCTTCATGCTGAACCCAAAACATTGGAATGGATTTGAAGGAGCCTGTGCCTCACGCCTATAATCCCAGCTACTTGGGAGGTAGGTAGTATTGAGGTTTGAGGCCAGTATAGGCAAACAGTAAGACTCTATCTCAAAGAGCAAAGTAGACACAGTGGCATGGATTTGTAATCCTAGCTATACGGGAGGTAGAATAAGAAGGATTTTGGGGGTTGGGAAGTTGGCTCAGTGGTAGAGCGCTTGCCTTGCATGCCTGAGGCCCTGGGTTCGATTCCTCAGCACCACATAAGCAAAAAGAAAAAAGCCGGAAGTGACGCTGTGGCTCAAGTGGTGGAGCGCTAGCCTTGAGCTGGAGAGCTGAGGGACAGTGCCCAGGCCCAGAGTTCAGGCCCCACGACTGAACCAAAAAAAAAAAAAGAAGGATTTTGGTTCAATGTGAGCCCCTGACAAAAACCAAGACCCTATTATATGAGAGATAACAGAAACACAAATGGATGGATTGGGACTGTGGCTCTAGTGGCAAAGCAACTGCTTAGCAACGAAAAGGCCTCGAGTTCAAACCCCACTACTGAAGTGGAAAAAAATAAATAAGAGCGCCACAGCAGGCCAGTGCCACACACAAGTCAGGGTGGGAAAGAAGGGACTGAATTCCAGGCAAGTTCCCAGATCCAGAACGTGACCTACAAAACATGGACCAATGGGCAGGGCCTGGAGCGCAGGCTTCGGGGACTGGGGAGAGGGTTCACCGGTGAGGAGCACAGGGAGAGGAGCTGAAAGGTTGGTTGGTGGTCTGGGTGGCTTCAGACCTGCAGCCCAGGGGCAGCCAGGATGGAGTCAATGCCCGGGCTTGCTCACTGACATGTGTTTGTGCATGCTGGGGGTCGGGAGAAACCCAGGACAGTATACTAGGCTCTGTGTAGGTGTTCCTGTGAGCACAAGGGGGTCCTGGGGCTGTGTTCTGGGTTCGAGTGGCTGGCCGGGTGTTAAATCCTGCATAGGCCACACAGGATGAAGGCTGACTTAACACAGGTGCGGCCAGGAAGATAGACTGCAGAGCCCTTGGGAGGGATGGCCAGCACTCGGGAGGCACTTACAAAGTAAATTTTGTGTTCCAGGAAGGAAACACCGAGGTAGAGCTGTATGGCAAAAGCGAAGGGATTTGGTCACGTGTGCAAAGCTAAATGCCTTCTTTGCCCCCTTCATCTACCCATCTGATTTGAGCATCTCAGGTCTCAGAGTTCAAATCCCAGATGAAGCCCTGGGGTACCGAGTAGCCATGGGAAGTCAACAGCTTCTCTCCCGACAGGAGAGAACAAAGCAAAGCAGGACTGAAAAGTTTGTGCTGACTCACAATAAAAGCCCTGTGGGGCAGAGGGCGGCTGTGTGACACAGGGAAACTTCATGTCTGTCTCTGGTTGGCGGCAGCAGCTCCTCAGACCCCGTGGCAAGGTGAGCTGTGGGTCACCACGGCTGAGGAGCAGCTGCGTGCACTGAAGGGGGCAGCTGGGGTGGAGCTGCGGAGGGGAGGGCAGAGAAGGCCAGGACTCGCTGCGGTTCCACTCCATTTTATTACAACCCTGTCCTTGTGTTCCAGAACAAACGGCTATGTAACACACAACCCCAACACTCCTACAATGGGTCTTAACATTCCAGCGTCTCCCCAGTTCCTCCTCAGCACATTAAATTGAAAGGGAAAAAGCAACAAATTAAAAACAACAACAAAAACCCCAAATCTTTAACAAAGCCAAGAGGTTTAGTCCATCCCAGGAGAAGCACCATTACAACGGGAGACGGAAAGTGTCAGGAATCTGACCAAATACACAGAGCAGCAGGCAGGATTCCTGACAGAAGAGAACATAAATAGGCCCCTCCCCCCCAAAGTAGATATCTTTCACATGTGCACATATATATTAAAAACAAATTTGGTATCTCCCCCCCTCCCCGCAGAGTATCAGAAATCCTCACCCATCTGAGGCCAGGGAAATGGGCGCAGCAGCCCCGCGCCCCCCCCCCCACTTTCAAGTGTGCAGTTGGCCCGGCCTCCGTGCCCTGCGCTCATTCCCGGCCAGGGCAGCCTAGCCCGCTGCGTCCAGTGTTTGTGGAGAAGGAAGCCAGGGAAGGGGAGGAGGGACGGTCCGGGGTGGCCCCAGGAGTTTGCCAGAACCCAGGAGACAGCTTAAAGAGGAGGCAAAGGCCACCCTCCCGGGAAGGGCTTGGACCTCAGAAATGAGATGGCGCTGGCCTGGCGCTGGGCCGCCAGCCTCGCTCCAGCTTCTCCTAGGACCAGTGGCCGTGGGAAGCGAGTGACATCTCCGGATGCGCCTGGGCCCAGCCTGGCGAGCCTGCTGTCTTAGGCGACCTTTGAGGGAAGTCAGCAGGATGCAGCTGGGGGCTCTCGGCCTACTGGAGTAGTGTCTGCTTCGGGGTGAAGGGGTTTTGGACCCACGCTCAGTGGGTTTGCCCCTGACACCAGTGCTGGAAGCGCTAAGTGGAGCTCAGGGCTTGGCACAGTGTTTTCCATCAACAAAACAATTGGGACAACCGCGTGGGAGCCCTGTCCTCATTCTAAACCCGGCCCGGGCCCACGGGCGCACGGGAGAAAAGGCCATCGGAAGCAGAAAGCGCCTCGGCGGCTGAGGGTTCGGAGCTGCGGCGGGCGTCACGATGTCACACGCAGCCGTACTCATACCACACTGTCTGCGGGTCCCCACCCGGCTCCGGGGACACAGGGGTGCTCTTCGAACTGCCCCGGCTCAAGTCCTCCGGGCTCCGGCTTGTGTGCGGAGCCGAGTCAGGAGACCGACCGGGGCTCTTGGCTGGGAGCCCCTCGCTGTAGCCCTGCCCCGGGACCCCGTCCGTCTCTGAGATGCTGAGCCCCTGCCGCACAGGCGTGACGGCGGCCACCTCCCCCGAATGTGGTGGCATTCTGGGCTTGGTCCTGGCTGCTGGGGCCGTGGCAGGGGAGAAGTGCAGGAGCTGGGAGCTGCTGCCCGTGGCCGCCGCTGTGGCCAGGGCGGGGGCCGTGGCGGACAGCTGCAGGGTGGTCAGCCTCTCCTCCTTCGGGGGAGCCAGGGAGAAGCGCCTTGTGTCCAGTGGCCGGCTGCGGGGGCTCAGGCCCTGACAGGAGCCATCGGCCTTGCCCACCAGGGGGGTCCGCTCCCGGGCCAGGCTGTGGGAGCTGGAGGGCGCGGCGCTCTGCTGGCTGTGGCTACCTGTCTCTCTGCCCCCCGAGGCCTCAGGACCCCCTGATTTCTGAAGGGACTCCTGTTTGCAGGCCTCTGGCCCACTGGCCTGCAGCAGGTCTGCGGAGGCCAGGCTGAAGGCCCGGCTCAGGGACGTGCTCCGGCTGGCAGGTGTGTGAGACGCTGCGAGCATCGTGGCTGGCCGGGACCTGCCCAGGGACAGGCTGTGGGGAGGCTGCATCTGCCGCGGAGCGACGCTGGCTGGCGCTTCTGCTTCAGCACCTCGGAAGCTCGGCTTCACGTAATGCCCGGGCTTCGGCGGCCTCCCCTCGGAAGCGGGGAGTGCCGTCTTGACGGTGGGGGCCACAAAGCTGGTGGGCATCTTGGCCCCCTCTTTTCTGGGAGGTGATCCTGGGGGGTCACTGACCTTCCGGAAGTAGTCACTGAGCAGGCTGTCCCGGCAGCTGGAAGTGTCCTGCAGAGGACAAGGGAAGAAGCGGAGCTGGGAGCCTGGCCTCCTCCCCCGTGCAGCCAGGGCTAAAGTCTCTGCTCCTGCTGCGATTCTTCAGGGTACATCTAGAAATGTTCGGGATGGCAAGAGGGCTGGAGGGTACAGACATCACTGGAGGAAGACGGCAGAAGCCACCCAGGCAGCCCCTGAACTTTACAAGTAAGAAAACACACCCAGCTGGGCGCCAGCGGCTCATGCCTGCAATCCTAAACTACTCAGGAGGTTGAGATATGAGGATCAGTTTAAAGCTGGCCTGGGTAGGAAAGTTACTGAGAGATGAATTAACCACCAAAAAGCCAGAAGTGGAGGTATGGCTCAAGTGGTAGAGCACTAGCCTTGAGCAGAAAAGCTCAGGGATAGCGGAATACTGAGGATCGTGGTTCAAAGCTAGCCTGGGCAGGAAAGTCTGCACGACTCTTATCTCCAATGAACCACCAAAAACCCAGAAGTGAGCTGTGGCTCAAAGTGGAAGAGTGCTAGCTTTGAGTGAAAAGGCTCAGGGACAGTGCCCAGGCCTTGAATTCAAGCCCTAGTACTGATGTGGGAAAAAAGAAACAGAGAGAAAAGAAAGACAGAAAGAAAAAAAGACAGAAGGATAGGAAGGAAGAAAGAAAGGAAGAAGACAGACCCAGAGAGGAAAGTGGCATCTTAAAATGTCCTGTCACCCCCAGGGGCTCAGAAACACCCCAGTGGTCCCGTCCGGCAAGCCTGCCAGGTGTGTCTCGTGCAGGAGCAAGTCTGGGAACCACCATGCTAGACACGAACTTCCCAAGGGCAGGGCCTGTCTTCCTCAGCTCAGATTCTCCTGTTCCTGGCCGACGGTCAGCATTTGGTAAACAGGAATTCAAGTGAAGGGAACCCGGGATCATGACTCACATTTCTGAGCCAGCTATGAAGGCCAGGCACCAAGCAAACGGAGAAAGCCCTTTTGGAGGAGCTGGTTGGCTTTGTCTGTGGAGACAAAGCACCCTTCACACCGCTTAGCAGTGCTCCAGGAATAACCACTGGACGAGCACTGGACACTGTGGGTGGCCATAGCGCAGGTCATAGGGTTTACCGTACAGTTGCATGAACTCCAACTATGTTTATTTAAGGGGAGCAAGAGAGGTGGGGCTGAAGTATTCAAAACCCTCAACCAGTCTCAGTAGTACTGAATCCGGACAGGGCACATGGTAGCACAGATGTGCGTGGAGATGGGGTGGGTTCTGGCAGGCGGTGCGCACGAGGGAACCCTAGGACCCCTATGCACTGCACTGGAGCTGGGCTGATCCAGTTTTCAGGTGGCCTGTGAGCTAAAGAGATTTTACGTTTTTAAGTGACTGGGCAAAAATGTTTAGGCATGAGCGGTTAGGGCAGGGTGTGCGGCTGTGACAAGAGCGCTTGCCAGGCAGGCACAAAGACCCGGGTGCCATTCCCAGAACTGCTGAAGAAGAAAAGAATAGTCCTGTGTCACAACAAGTGAGACGCGACCTACGACTCAAAGGTCACCGTCCACTTTGTTGGACGGCCGCCAGGCTCGTTCGCTCACACATGGGGCCCATGGCCGAGCTGAATAACTGGAGGAGAGTTAGGCGGCCAGAGAAATCTGTAATAGTCATTCTGGTCTTCTAAAGGCCCCAACCTCTGCTTAAAAGGACACAGGACAAGAAAGCTCTTAGAACTCTACCATCAAGCCCAGTGCCCTACCACCCAAGGCCTGGCGCTGTGGGTGGGGTGTCTGCCATACCCTACCGGTCCTGGGCCACGAGCTGCGCCAGTTCTTGATTTTCTGTCCAGTTATTTTCAACATCCTGCCGCAGCCACACCAGCCCGGCACAGCCCCCCCACCCCGCCCCCAACCCTGGCCCCACGCCAGGCTGAGGAGGGGCAGATCCTGTACCAGCCACGCCACTCACGTGGGTAGGGGAGCTGCGGTTACTCTCCTCCAGGAATTCCTCCAAGGTGACCATCTCGCTGCTGGGGGAGGTCGAGCGGGGCCGTGCTCCAGTGTAGGGTGGAGCTGTGCCCCTCTTCTGGGCGCCCTCGTGCGGGAGAGGCCCGTTCCGGGGTGGTGGGAACTCATGGCGACCGAGGGCGCCATGTCCCAGGGCACTGGCATCCCGGGGCAGCGTGGCCTGGTCCCTGCTGGGGATCAGGTCTGTGCTGCTGAAGCTCTCAGATCGGCTGTGGAGATGGTCAGAGCCTGGGCAGGAGACACAAGAGGCCCAGGTCAGTCCCCGGGTCTCTGCTCCTGAGGGCCCCACCAAGAAAAGCCCACTCAAAACCCTGGGGTCAGTTCCTGCCCAAGATGCTGGGTGCTGACAGAGCTTTCTGGACTGTTTAGCGCTTAGCTTTGGCTGTGTGCACGCGCATGTGTACAGGTATTGGGTCTTAACCTCAGGGCCCTTGGGCTCTTGCTTAGTTTTTTTTTCACTCAGGGCTGGCACTTTTTAACACTTGAGCCACATCTCCACTTCTAGGTTTTTGCAGGTTAATTGGAGATAAGAGTCTCATGGATTTTTTTCTGCCTGGGCTGGCTTGGAACCACAATGTACACATGAGCCATCAGTGCCCCGCTCACTTTGGCTTAAAAAAAAAAAATCTTGAGGTTGAGGTCATGGCTCAAGTGGTAGAGCATCTGCCTTGTGAGTGTGAGGCCTTGAGTTCAAACTGCAGTACTAGGGGAGAAAAAAACAGTAACAACAACAAATAACCCCCCCCCCAGCTAAATTCTGGCTAAAACTTGAAAACTTACATTTAAAATTCACTTGTTGGGACTAACAGTTTTCTGTCACCAAAAGATAGAAGTGCAGCTAATAAGTGTTTGCACAGAGCTGTCAGCCGTACAGTGGAGGAAAGCCAGTGCAAGAGATCTGAACTGCTTCATGAATTTTCCTATTATCCATGCCAGTCCCCAGGACCACTCCCGTTCCAGGCCCTGTGGTACCCACGCCAGCACTGATGCTTCCATTATTAATGGCTGTCACACTTATTCACGCTCATCCACTGGCAGAACAAATGCGACATGCCAGGCTGTTCTTCCAACCTTGTGGGAGCTAAGAGGAGTTCAAGTCTAGAGGAAAGGGGGCATGTGACACACAGATATACAGGACATTCTCACCAGGACCATAAAAGCATGTTTTAAAAAAATCAGCCCGGTCCTAGTGTCTCACACCTGTAATCCTAGCTACTCAGGAGACAGAGATTAGATCTGATGATTGTGGTTCAAAACCAGCCTGGACAGGAAAGATTCATTTCCAATTGACCACCAAAAAACTAGAAGTGGTCCTGTGGTTCAAAGTGGTAGAGCCCTAGTCTTGAGCAAAAGATCTCAGGGACAGCTCCCAAGCCCCACAACTGGAAGAAAAAAAAATCATCTCCACTTGTTACCTGGCCACAATGGAAAGGAACACCTCTTCCTCACCTTTCCTCAGATCCAGAAATCTGCGACTCACACAGGGCTGCAGAGCAGGCCTGCGTGGGCCAGTGGAAGCATTATTGCGTACTTGAAGCCCTGGGATCCTCTTTGGTTTTTATGCTTTGGCTCGTTATAGGACTTGAACTCTATCTGGGCCTGGGCACTGTCCCTCAGCTCTTCAGCTCAAGTCTAGTGCTCTACCACTTGAGCTACAGCATCAATTCCTGTTTTGTGGTGGTTAACTGGAAATAAGAATCTCACAGATTTTCCTGCCCGGGCAATCCTCAGATCTCAGCCTCCTGAGTATCTAGGATTACAGGCATGAGCTATTACTGGCGCCCGGCTTAATTTTTTAAATTAAAAGACTAGCAGGAGTTCAAAGCACCGATGAATGTGAATGAAGGTTTAAACACTCTAAGAAGGGGCGAGCCTTACCCTTGAGACTTAGAGGTGAGCTGTTGCTGGACGCATTTCTGCTGCTCTCCAAGCTGCTTGGCCGTGACACTGAGGGGAAACACAGAGCTTACTCCCTGTGACCAGGGAGATCCCAGGTTAAACCATCTTCCCAGAGCACCTCTACACCAAAGCTCAAGCTGCTGCTCTCTGTAGGGAGTTCTGCTGAATCCTCCACACAGTCCTCCCCCACCACCTGCGCCCCTGGCCCCCAGGCCCAGCACACTGCGGGCCATCTGCAAGCAACAACTCAGGCCCTTTTCGCTAGATCTCCAACATCACTGTTTAAAACAAGTCTACAACCAAGCCATCACACACAGGCTGTTCCGGGGAAAACTAAAGGTGGGGTGAGTGTATTGTTCATAAAGCTTTCTAGAACACAGGTGAACAGCCCTTCCCAGGAGTGGCGTGAAGTGCTGCCAGAGTGGCAGCTACACACTTGTCAGTGTGCATCTGCACAGGACAGTGTCCGGACTGCTTCCCCCGATTGTCTATTCTTTGGTGTTATTCGCCCCAAATGTACATCTGTTCCAGAGCAACAACTTGTGGTTTACAGTATCAAGCAGAGAGAGCTGGTCCTGACTGCTAAAAGCGTTTGTCTGAAAGGGTCCACCCAGAGCAGCCTGGACTTCTTAGCCTCCTGACTGCTGGGACTACAGACGTGTGCCATCATGCCAAGCTCGACCATTTATTAAAGGTGCTTTCCCTTTTCTGTCCTGGAGAGAAGCTGGAGGAGTCGGAACACGTGTGAGGAAAACCCTTGTGGTTAGCTGACCAGTCACAAATGTGGCTCACTCAGAGAGAGATGATGCCCAGCGTCTCAGCAGGCTCCCTCGGGTGTCTGGTCCCCAGCTAGCTGGCTTGCTGTAAGGATAGCAGGCTTCCCTGGAGCCAAATGGCCTCACTACAGAGCCTGTCTTTACGTGGAAGCCGTATCAGGCTTGTGGAGCCAGTGTCAGTATCACTGCATCTGCAGCCCCCACGCTTCCGGCTCATCACTTCAGATACAACCTGAATCCAATGTCAATCTTACAGGCTTTCCTTTCTAGAATTGCTTTTCCAAACTGAGAGCTGCGACAGAAGTTCAGGGGTGGTACTTTTGCCTGATATGTGGGGGATCTTGGGTTTAATCTCAGGAAGGCAGGAAGGCAGGGAGGGAGGGAGGGAGGGAGGGAGGGA